ATCAGCGATTGCTCTGAGGTTGATGGGTTATTGGTAGTCTCCGTGTCTCTACCTTGGCGCACTCTACGCGACTTTTCCGAAGTAATCTGCCTCGCGAGGAGCGCAGAAGTTCCAAACCCAAAGGCCTCGGTCGACAGGAGATCTATGGGATCCTGCCTAAAATGAATGTCGGATGTGATCGTGTAAGTACTCGGATTGGTTCCGGATAACTTTGGGGCTTGGACGTGATCTCGAACAAACAGCTGCGATATTGTTTAGAAGCCGTCACCGGCTGGGACGAGACTTTTGATATAATGTAACGGCGCAGGTAAGGCAGGTCGGATCTGTTTCGGTCGTAGGATCACTCAGAGGCATATGGGAGTGCGTGGGATCACAAAGAGCCTAGATTCAACAAGCCACCTATAGGCCTTGTACGAAAGGATATCAAAAGTCTACAGAGCTAGCTACAGGGAGTGTCTCAATATATACCTATCCTAGTCGGGTCCGAATTCGGATCCGACCTCGGGCGAATGGCTGATGAAGGGCGGCAGGTACTTCCTCCGATCCGGCTCTGGGATTGGCTCAATACTTGGCGAAGTTGTAACATCGTTACAACAATGGACTAAACTAACATTCAGATATAATAAAAATTAACATGACTTAAATCACGTAACAGTACAAACCAGTTCACCCACAGCCAGTCTCTAACATGAATATCCAAAGCCCACCGTTACAGTCTACCATTGAAGCACTGCATTGATCAGTTTCTGAATAGTACATTACAGACTAAGCTCGTACCTCATCACGTGCAGCGCTGGTCCGGGCGCAAAAATATTTCTCACCCACCCACACCACCGCCCGCCCTCCACATCACAAGAAGCCGCAAAAAAAGGTACAAAAACAGCAAAAGAAACATTTTCCGACACCGGGAATCGAACCCGGGCCTTGCCGGCACTGTTTGAGAAACAAGTGAACTGACTCTGCAAGTGAGAGCGGCAAATCCTAGCCACTAGACCATATCGGATTGATGGAAGAATGACGAGATAGAACTAATATGTAGAGGGATTGAATTGACCTACAGATGACCAATGGGGGTTTGCAGATGGAAGGAACTGACTCATGCTAATGACCAAGGGAAAGACGCACTCGTTGGGGCGGCGGTTGGCATGTTTTACAAATCGACTTGTTATTTCTGTAGGATATGCATGAAATCGAGTACTTAAGCAGAACATTTCTCTGACATACTTATCCAGTCTTATGCTGGGTAACTTTTTCTTGCTCCAGAAGTATTCTTTCTACATATCTACCTACTGCATCCACGATGCAGTCCATTACCATTTGCATTCGCAGTGATATAGATTAGCAGTACGATGTAGACGGTGCATTTTTTCGATCAGATTTTTTTAGGTGTAAGAAAAGGGTCTTAGTTTATGGTGCTGCAAGCTAAAAGCAACCAGTGCAACTATAATCATGGATGACTCCCGACAACGGCGGTAAGTAGAGGTAAAGTACCTAGGCATTTGCCCCGCGGCACACAAAAAAGTTACCACCCCGCGATCCGCGACCCGCGACCCGCAACTGTTAGGCCTCGCATCGGTGTCGGTGACGGCAACACAGAAGCAATGGCAGCTCGAAACACGGCGTTCAATCTGCAGACATGCGCGCGACCGAATATTCTCGCGTTGGAGCCGTACCGGTGCGCGCGCGAGTAGGTGATGCACAATGACGCCCGGAATCTAGGGGACACTTTTTTTTCTTACTCACGCGGCGCTGCAGTGACTACAAAGACGACGGAACCAACATTCTGCTCGATGCAAACGAGAACGCGTATGGGCCTGGACTGGCGCTGGCAGGGGACAACAAGATAAATGGTAATGGCACAGGTGATTCTTCGTACGCGATTGACGTCGACTTACTGGGGCTGAACCGCTACCCGGACCCGTAGGTACTGTCTGGTGTCGCGGGTGCAAAGGTACTAATGCTGGTACCAAGGCACCAGGAAGAGCTGAAGCAGCAGCTCTGCAATCTGCGCAACACGCACACGCACACGGCCAAGAAGATTACGCCGGCGAACCTGTTTGTAGGCGTGGGCTCGGACGAAGCCATCGATGCGCTCATCCGCGCGTTTTGCGTGCCGGGCAAGGAGAAGATCCTAACATGCCCGCCCACGTACGGCATGTACAGCGTGTCGGCACAAATCAATGACGTTGCGCTGGTCAAGGTGCCGCTCCAACTACCCAGCTTCGATGTCGACGTACCCGCGATCCTGGCGGCGCTCGATAGCGACACAAGCATCAAGCTCGCCTACTTCTGTTCGCCGGGCAACCCGACGGGCAAGCTCCTCAACAAACAGGATATCCAGCAGGTGCTCGAGCACTCGTGGAACGGCATTGTCGTTGTTGACGAAGCCTACATTGACTTTTCGCCCGACGGGACCAGCCTGGCAGAATGGGTGAGCGAATGGCCCAACCTCGTCGTCATGCAGACGCTCTCCAAGGCATTTGGTCTCGCGGGCATCCGCCTGGGCGCCGCCTTTGCCGACGCTGCCGTCGCGCAGATACTCAACAACATGAAGGCGCCGTACAACATTCCGAATCCTACAAGCCAGCTTGCACGCGCGGCACTCAGCCCCAAGCACCTCGAGGTGATGCGCAGGAACAAGGATATGATTGTGGCACAGCGCGAGCGGTTGATGAGCGAAATGAAGAGCATACCTGGCATTGGGCAGCTGCACGGCGGGACCGAGTCCAACTTTTTGCTTTACCAGGTGCTCGATGGGCCGGCGGAGCAGGGCGGCAAGCCATCGAACGAGGCAGCGCTGGCCGTGTACGAGGGCTTGGCAGAGGAAAAAGGCGTCGTGGTAAGGTTTAGGGGGAAGGAATATGGTTGCCTGGGGTGTTTGAGGATAACGGTGGGGACGGAGAAGGAGGTGGATCGCTTCTTGGACGAGTTGAGGCAGGTTTTGCGGCGGGTGCATCAGAGGATGGGAGGCGTGGGCAAGGACGAAGAGCAGAGGGAAAGGAAAGCGAATGATGTTGTTGCGTGAGACGAATGGGGTGACATAGTGCGCTCAAACATTCACCCCAGGTGTCTATCATGTTGTTGCTCGATGCAGCCTAGCACATCTATTTAGATGCTCCCATGTAATGCGAATCTGGCTACTCGACATGCTCATACATCCACGTTTCGCTCTCTTGGGGTGCAGCATACAAGCATTGGCTCACCCGGCCGTGTTCAAACACAGGCACTACATGGCGGTCCACGACGCTCATGGCCCACATGACGACGCGCGCGCCCAGGTGCTCGGTACGGCCGCTAATAAAGACGGGCGCAGACCCATGAGCAGGCTGATTTACAAACGTGAGACCAACGTCGTCTAGAACATCGCTCGGCGCAGCGCGGGGATCGGCAGAAGGTAGGTGCACAAAGTCTGCAAGGTTCGCGTCTACAAATGTATATGTTTCAACATCCTCGATGCCGTCCTCGAGCATGGGAAGCGCGTGACGGACACAAAGGCTGCGAAGGAGACCGAAGAGCGGAGCGTCGGATGTATCTTGAGCCGTCAGCATGGTTGCCATGAGGACGGCAAGTAGCAATGTCCACTTCAGAGCGTCCTTGTCCGACGTGTGCAAGCCGTGCTGCGCGAGGGCAGCTATAAACTTTGCTGCGGCTATAGGAAAGCTGTGTTCAAAAGCATCCAGTGCGTCGGGTAGCGAATGCAAGATTGGCGGCGAGGCTTGGCTGGTTGATGCTCGCAGCTTGGCTATGGTAGCCTGAAGCTCGCGCCGCACCGAATGAATGACGCGGGCTTGGCCATCGCGGTAAATCTTTGCGTACTTTTGCTTGTCGTTTCTGGGCGACTGCTCCAGGTGCAGCGGGAGGGGGCCACACCTCTGTTCTAGCGCCTGATGCAAGAGTACCAAGACCTGTAGCGTGATCCTGCCTCCTGGGCGTGCAACGTCGATGCTATTCACGTCTATTTCTGAGGTGATGATGGTTTGGATGAAGAAGAAATGCACAATATACGGGGGTATGCCGCGGAAAAAAGGAACGTGGTTCTGATAACGCCCAAACGGGTGGTCTTTGGCGCGCAAAAAGTGCTGCTCTTTGTTGGGATCAGTCGCAAGGAAGTCTGTGCACATGCCAAAAGGAACGTTGTTGGCGTCTAGCAGACCCAGTTGCTGCGCATATTGCTGCAGCTGGGGCTGAAATGCAAGCTTCAAGGCAAACTGCTCAATTGGGTTATCCTCAAGACAGAAGCCGTAGCCGAGGAGCAGCTCATCGTTTTGCTTGGGCGCATAGTTGTTGAACAGCTCTTGGCCAGGCTGAATCGACGCTGCTTCGAGACACTTGAGCGCAAACGACTGGCGAGGCTGGAAATCCCACTCCACCTTGGCCGAGACAGAGTGATTCAGAATGTCGATGACTGGAAAAAGCATGGGTATCGTGTCTCTGCCGGGCAAAATGTGAGTGGAGATGAATGCACGCGACGTGTAAATGGTGGCAGCCCATTGCAACGATTCGCTGGGCGGCGTTAGCGGGCTGTGTCGTCGTGGCTGATGTTCAGGCAGAGAAGGCCAGCCAAATGCTTATCCGCGGGGGGCTTTGAAGCGTCACCTAATACCAGTTACGACGCATCCGGTCGAGCTGACATGGACTACTGCACGCCAGGCCACTCACGAGCACCATTTTGTCAAGCAACTTACAGGTCAACGGTGTCAGCAAGATGCAAGCCAGATTTCCTCATGACAGCAACGGCGTGCTCCCATTGCTGGTGCAGCTCGGCCTTTCTTTCTTTTGCAGCAGGCGCCAACGAGGTGCCGGCGAGAAAGGCCAGGTCGGCGTCGTCGAACCAAAGCGGCGTGCCCATGGCCTGGGGACCCGGCAGACATGCTAGATAAGGGTACCACGGCGAGTCTTTTCCCTTGTTGCGCTGCTCAATCAACATGAGATATGTCAAGATGTGGTCCGGGATTTGGCCTCGCAGCTTTTGCAGGGCGCTCTCAACGGGTAGCACAGCGTCCTCTGCAGGATCGAGATTGAGCAGCGAGAGCGTCAGCTTGAGGGGACACCTAGCGATGAGGGGCGAGGCCAGGGGCGCCAGCGCACGCATGTGAAAGCCATGGGCGTCGCTATGGACAAGGCGGACGTCGGGACTCAGGTGGCCGCCATGGTGGGCAAACCAACGGACGAGGCTATCGGACAGCGGGTGAGCAGCGACGCCTTGGCCAGCTGTTTGTTCCATTTGGGGGCTGGCCAGGGAAAACAGGAACAGCAGAAACAGCAACCACCGTCGATATGGCTGGATGCGCCGGCGCCGGGCCATTTCTCTGGTCGCCGGCGGCCGCCTTTGACGAGCTGCCCCCCCGTTCCCACCCACGACACGCGCCACGGCTGCCAGGGCCTGCTGCAGTCTCACCATCCACCTGCTGTAATATCTGCTGCTCCCACTACGCGCACTAGTACAGGACATACATGGCCTGACTCGCCGCGTGCGGGCCCGCTTACCGGCCATCACCACCCACGCCCCCGGCTCTTCGCAACCAGCTCCCAGAACACGCAACATCTTCTTCGCCCTCGTCTTCGCTGCAACTGCCATGCTGCAGCCATATCCGCCGCGGTCCGATCGCTGCTGTCCCACCTCCCCAGCTGCCGGGGCGACGAGAAACTCCGCTCGTGCTCGCGGCTGCTGCAGGCGGTGCGAACGATACAGCCATAACGGTATTGTGTGCATGGCTGCCTGCGTGCGGGATTCTGCACCCAGTAACATGCTACACAGATACACTACCACGCCTACCTACTACACGCACTCCCTCACGCTCACACCCCTCGCCATCATGCCACACCTATACGACACCTGCAAAACCACTCCCACGGCGGCCTGCTCACGTCCCGTCGAGGAATAGCCCCTCTCTCACCGACTATGACACGCCCTCTGCCGAATCCTGCAACTCGTTCTGCAAGGCCCCGCTGCTCCTCGCCCCTCTAGCTCCACGCTACGAGTAAGCGTGCGTGATTCTGATCTTCGGTTGCCCCGGCCTCCGTCATCCGCACCCCTCCATTGTGTTTTTTTTCCGAGCCCGAGCCCGAGCCCGAGCTCTCGTCAGCTGGACAAAACACTGCGCAGAATACCACGCCATCGGACGAACCGACCATCCGGCCCAGCCCATTGCGTCCGCCCGCTATCGACCTACACGCACACGCACCGCGCGCATCAATTGCCTGAGACATCGACATCGACATCGACATCGACACCAACATCGACATCGACGCTCGCCTCGACCCCACGCAGCCCTTGTTTGTTGGCACACTCTGCTCGCCGCCGCCGCCGCCGCCGCCTCCAATTCAGCTGTGATCCTCCTGGCTGCTGCTGTTGTTGTTGTTCTTGTTGCTGCTGCTGCTGCTGCTGCTGTCCCTCGCCTCCCACTACTGCCACTGCTCCCTACTGCTGCTCGATACTAGCAGTGCCAATCAAGAGTGGTGGTGGAGCTGTGCATGCGCTGTGCTAGCCACGCCTCCCCTGCATTGCTCAGCTCGACGCCCGCCTGTGGCTTGTAAGTGCCCACCACCCATTCACTCGCGCCCCGTGCGCCGCCCCCCCCCCCCAGGCCCTCGCCCTCGACCTTCACCCTCGCATTCGCGCGCACAGCCCTTTGGCTGCAGCCCTCATAAGAGCAATGGCGTCCCCTGCGCCGCCCAAGGCCCCTCTCCTTGTGGCCATGCTCTCGTCGTATTATTATGCTAATGCGCCGCCTTGCAGCATGCCCATCGCGCCCCCTTCGCCACTGCTACTCCCATCACCACCGTCGCGGTAGCCTGAACCAGCCATGCTGCTGCTCGACATGTTCGCCGATGCCGCCAAACACGGCCACGCCCACGGCCACGGCCACGACCACTCGCCCGCGTCGCCCGCCGCCGCCGCAAATGCTTCGTTTCTGAACAACCCGCTGTCGCTGCTGGGCTCTGTCCTGCGCAGCCAGACGTCTTCGCCCTCGCCGCCCGCCACGCTCGACATCAAGCCGCCCACTTCCGCCCCGCCCGCCCCAGAGGCCTCCGCCGCCCCCAGGCCCGACTCGTCCGGCAGCGACGGCACGCCCGAGAAACTCCACAGGCCCTCGCGCCGCTCCAAGACGTCCTTCAACATTGCCCGCCCCGTCAACACGCGCTCCAAGCTGCATAGCCGTCCCAAGGTCCACCTCCAGCTGCACCAGCTCATTGCCTCGAAGCGCCCCAAGCCTGCCTACGACGTCGTCCCCTTCTCCAGCATCCCCCAGCGCTCCGCCCGCCGCCTGGCGACATCCTTCAACACCAGAGACAAGCTGGGCAGCCATGATCTTCTCGTGGTCAAGGCAGGGCCCTACTCCTCCGAGGACGAGCAGGAGCGCTCAGACGAGCACCAATGGAACCCCAGCGACGTCATCGGCGTCCTCAGCACTCGCAAGTGCGACAAGAGCGTCACCGAGACCACCGACATATGCCTGAACGACGGCCTGAGCCGCTGGTCGGTCGCCGACATGCCAAACGGCGGCTACGAGTTCACCAACGCCGACGAGCACGGCCTGACCCTCAAGGTCCGCTGGGTTCTGAAGCCAGGCCATACCCGTCGCTCCAGCATGTCCGCGGCTCCCTCCACTGCGACCGACGACAAGAAGTTTACCTTTAGCACAATCGCTCCCGACTCCAGGCGCCATCCCATCATTGCAACCATGACGCGCAGCCGCATAGACGTCATGGACACCTACACGATCCCCTCCGCCTCCTCGTCGGCAACCCCGAGCGTCCCCTCGTATACCCATTCGCCCTCAACAACCCCCAGCATTAATTCTGAATCCTTCGCCGACGACCTCACCGATAAACTTCCCCTTGTGACAACCGAGTCGATCCGTAACCTAATACTCGTCACTGGCGTGTGGGTGGCTTCGAAAGAATTCGCATCAGACAGCACCAACCACGCCACGATTCCTGCGCGCACGCCAAGCGGCAATTTCCGCCCATCTACCCACCGCAACTCTTCCATGTCAACCCTCGACAGCCCTCCCTCGCCATCACCAGCTTCAACCCTGAACGAGAAGCATCGCTCGATTCCCCGACTGCTCAAATCCAGTGTCGAGCGCCTGCCCCACGTTACCACGGACACGCCTCCGTCTCCGTCCTCGATCAAAACGGCAACCAAGGCCTCGCCTGTGCCCAAGCCACGTCCACGGCGCGCAAACTCGACGGGCGGGGCCATTCACAGCATTTCTGGCAGTCTGAGGAAAAAGTACAGGCTTTCTTTTGAAGACGACACCCTAATAGAAACTGCAGAAGAACGCCAGTTGAAACGCAGTATTGAATTGCTTCGCGTCAGGGAGCTCGCACTCCCAGTTCCCATTGAACGTCTCTCTGCAGAGACCACTCGGGCCTCTACCACGACTGCACCATTTCCTACTGTTACTTCACCATCTTCTGAAGATTCCCACTCACCTGCACCCTTACTCGCCTCGCCTCTACTTTCACCCCCTGCTACGAACTCCGAACGATCACGAAAAACGCAATCTGGCTACGCACCCGTTACGACAACTGGCATGTGGGATTCAGGCGTCACCCAAGGCCCCGGCCTTAAGACGCGCCCCACGAGCATGTTTGTCATGAACGAGAAGAAGCGCAAGCAGCAAAAAAAAGACGGACGAAGTAAGAGCAAGGACCGAAAGACCAAGCAAAGCGAAGGCGGCGAGCAGAGTTTGGGCATCAAGAGAAAAAGTGATTGGTATATGTATAAGATCAAGCTTCGCCTCAAAGACATGTTCAAGAAGGAAAAGGCTTGATCTGCGACACTCCTTATGGCTGCGTGATTTCCTTTCGCTTTTCCTTTGTGTATAGTCCTCCCCAAGTTGTTTACTCGAGCGGAGTGGGTCTGGAGCATTGGTTTGGCGTTTTTTTTTCTTTTACAATTTCTCTGTATCATTATCACAATGGTTACCAGGCTGGACCTGTTGGGCGGCGTTTTCCTTGTTGCTACTCACACTGCACCACACTTCTTTTCTTCTGTACATATTCACCCCTCACGTTGGAGAGCCATGTAATCAATATCCTATTTTTTCGTCCTGAATTCAAGTGCTACAGCCCAAATTCAACACTGTTCGTCTTGCACACTATTTTGCATAGTTATGTACGTCATTCACCCTTTTCATACCATGTCCCTGGTGCTGTGTGGGCCTTACCATTGAGACGGTAACTGAACACGCACACATCCAACGCTCTGTACAATCCCTCAACCCTGCGACTTGCGCAGGTACACCCGTTCGTCTAAAAATACACACCATATTATTGTAAATAAACGGGCCGAATTGCCAATTCCGGGCTTCCCTTGCCTGCATCATCATTAATTCCATTCCAGAAATGCACTAATCATCGCTTCGGATATAACGGGGGTTGCGAAACAAGCAGCGTCCCTCATGTTCATTGTTTCCCTTCAGTCGGACACCTGGGCGTTGAGTGGCCCAGCGGCCCTCCCTCTGGGCTTCGGCAAGTCCTTGTTTCCGACGACCGAGCCAGTGAAGAATTTTTTTATCGAAAATGTGGTGAGCAAGCTTCTTCCGTCTGTTCCGGCCGAAGGCGAGGGGGCCTTACTACGAGCGGGCGGGTGGATCGTATGTGTGTGGAAACGCGAGTTGCCATGTGAGAGTAATCGTTTTGCGTGTTTTGTGGCGGCAGAGTTTAGGGTGCCGTGTGTGGGTATATTTAGACGGCTCTCTGACAGTTGGGTAAAGTGTAATTCGTTTTTTTACCACGCCCTCTTGGCTGTCATGGTAGCAGTGCCGGTGCGCCACGGAATGGTGGTGCAGAGCTGAGACCGCTGATTGCGTATGTTGCTTACTTACTAAGTGAGGATAAAGGCTCGCAGCGCTGCAACGCTGCACTATGTAGAGAGCGGGTGTGGATTATGAGGCTTCATTTACTATGAGCTTCATTCACTATATCCGGACAATATGCTAACCTGTGTGGCTTTATATACCTATAGAAGCAGTTTCACTTGACTCTTGAATAGAGTCAGACTGGTGAATGCGGCTGCATGGTGAGTTTCTGTAATCATGAGAGGATGCAGACAGTAATAATGGAGCACCAATATCTCATGCTAGATAAGTACGGCTGCTGCTAACCTCCTATCCTTCACTTCATATCACGTGACAGGCGTGATGAGATATCCAACCACCAACAGGAGTTGTGGTTCTCCCAGACTGCAGTATGGGTCCTCACATCATATCTCCATCATCACGTGAGTTGCTTACCCATTTCGTGCCTGCGGCCCTCAACCTCCCCGTACCTTTACACCACCACCCATCCACCAAATTCATCACGACACTTTTGTTCCGCGTAAATCTCTCACCATCACTGCTTTTGGTGATAGACACTGGTCCTCATAGTTCACAGCTCGAGCAGCCAATAGAACCCCCAGAACCCCCGCACTAGCGCACGACTAGCGCGCCTTCCCCTGCAGCGACTCGCTTTGGCAACGCCAACGCGTAAACACAGACATTCATGTAGCAAAACACGCCTCCGCATTCAACTTCTTCACCACCACCACGCTTTTCTTTCGTCTACACTCGTTGCGTCACTTGAGTTTTTGCCGCACGACTCTCGCGTGGCTGCGAGATTTTCCCCCTTTTCTTCGTTTTTCGTCCCGCGGGGACTCGACAATAGCCCGCCATGGACGACTCCCTGATGGAAGACTCTGTATTCGATGATGGCGCCAGTTCTGACTTTGCCCTGCCCGCAAAGTCAGCCAAGGCCACCAAGGCCACCAAGGCTGCTGCAAAGCCCAAAGCCCCCCCGAAGAAAGCAGCAGGCACTGCGAAACCACGAGGCAGACCCGCCGGCGCCGCTACGAAGCCCAAAGCGAAGGCTCCACTCAAGAAGAAGGCCAAGGCCGACTCGGATATGGATGAGAACTCAGACATAGATATGGACGAAGACCCAATTGACGATGACGAGTCGCTACTTGCAGACACGCCAAAGGCCAAAAAAGCACCGGCCCCGAAGAAACCGAGCGGCAAACCCCTCGCGGATATCGTCAACGAGAGCATCGGCGGTGATGGAGATGATACACCCGCTGCGAAGCCCAAGAAGGGTGGCGCCAGCAGCAAGTACCAGATGGTGCGTGTTCAAAGCAGAAAATGCGAGACAATGGCTAACGCAACCCCAGTTGACGCATCTGGAGCACATTATGAAGCGTCCCGACACATATATCGGATCCGTAGAGCGACAGACGGACAAGATGTGGGTGTACAACTCCGAGTCCGAGTCGATGGAGTACCGCGACGTTTCTTACGTACCCGGTCTGTACAAGATCTTTGACGAGATTCTTGTCAACGCTGCCGACAACAAGCAAAACGACAAGAATATGAGTGAGATTCGGGTAACAGTCGACCGGGAGACTGGCGAGATTTCCATCAAGAACGACGGAAAGGGAATTCCAATTGAGATTCACAAAGTTTGTAGTCCCTAGCCCGTGCGCTTCAATTGCTGACTTGGCTAGGAACACGGCATATATGTACCAGAGATGATCTTTGGTCACCTCCTCACATCATCCAACTATGACGACGACCAGCAAAAGGTCACGGGTGGTCGCAACGGTTACGGAGCCAAGCTCTGTAACGTCTTCAGTACCGAATTCACAGTCGAGACGGTGGATTCAAAACAGAAGAAAAAGTACAAACAGACCTGGACGGAAAATATGAGCAAAATGGGCAAGGCCAAGATTACCGACATCAAGGCGGATGACTACACAAAAGTCAGCTGGAAGGCCGATTACGCCAGGTTCGGCATGGAGGGCATTGACGACGATTTTGAAGCCCTGGTCAAACGCAGAACCTACGACATGGCTGGTACGCTACGCGGCGTCAAAGTTTACCTCAATGGTGACCGCATCAAAATCACATCATTTGCGAAATATATGGAGATGTACACAAAGTCCATCTCACGCGACCAGGGCCGGGGCGATGAAGACAAGGAGAAGGACGTCATCATCACAGACAAGCTCGAACGCTGGGACATTGGTTTCGCAGTCTCGGATGGTGCCTTCAACCAAGTGTCATTCGTCAACTCGATTGCAACGACATCTGGTGGTACGCATGTCAACCACATTGCTGAGCAGATTGTCGACAAGCTCATGGCCATTGTGAACAAGAAGAACAAGGCCGCCGTCAAGCTCAAGCCTGCGCAGATCAAGAACCATCTGTTCCTATTCGTCAACTGTTCCATCGTCAACCCAGCCTTTACATCTCAGACCAAGGAGCAGCTCACGACCAAGCCTAGCCAGTTCGGTAGCAAGCCCGTACTCAGCGACAAGTTCTTGAACGCCATTGCCAAGACCGATGTCATCCAGAACATTATGCACTTTGCTCAGCAAAAGGCCGATCAGATGATGAAGAAGACCGACGGAAACAAGCGCAACCGAATCAGTAATGCCAAGCTGACAGACGCCAACAAGGCTGGTACCAAGGACGGACATCTCTGCACGCTCATTCTCACTGAAGGTGAGTCGGCTAGTGTGCTTGCGCTGGCTGGACGTGCTGTCGTCAACCAGGACTTGTTTGGTGTCTTCCCGCTTCGTGGTAAGCTCCTCAACGTCCGAGACGCCACCGTCGATCAGATCATGAAGAATGTGGAGATTCAGAACATTAAAAAATTCATGGGTCTTCAACACAAGAAGGAGTACACAGCGGCAGACATGAAGAGCTTGCGTTACGGCCATCTGATGATCATGACGGATCAGGATCACGACGGTAGCCATATCAAGGGTCTACTCATCAACTTTCTTCAGTGCCAGTTTCCAAGTTTGCTCAAGGTACCTGGCTTCCTCCTTGAGTTCATCACTCCTATTGTCAAGGTCTGGAAAGGAGATCCCAAGAACCCACGCCACCTGAAGAGCTTCTTCTCCATGCCCGAGTACGAGGAGTGGAAGGAGCAACACGCTCATGAAAAGGGCTGGGACCACAAGTACTACAAGGGATTGGGTACCAGCGACATTCCTGATGCCCAGATTTACTTCAAGGATCTCGACACGCACATGAAGCGCTTTCAGGTGATGCGTGAGGAAGAGGAGAAGCTGATCGAGTTGGCCTTTTCGAAGAAGAAGGCTGACGCCCGTAAGGATTGGCTGCGTGACTTTGTGCCAGGTCAGCATCTTGATCTTACCACGCCGGACATCTCCTATGACGACTTTGTCAACAAGGAGTTGATTCTCTTTTCCATGGCCGACAACGTGCGATCTATCCCGTCTGTCATTGACGGCCTGAAACCTGGTCAACGCAAGGTCATGTACACTTGCTTCAGGCGCAACATCAAAAAGGACGTCAAGGTGGTTGAGCTGGCTGGTTCGGTCTCTGGTTCGACCGACTATGCTCACGGAGAAGCTTCTATGCAGGGCACCATCATTGGTCTCGCGCAAAACTTTGTCGGAACCAACAACATCAACTACTTGGAGCCTAGTGGTAACTTTGGTTCTCGTCTCAAGGGTGGTGCCGATGCTGCCAGCGCCAGGTACATCTATACCCGGCTGTCTCCGTTTGCAAGGCGCATTTTCCACCCCCACGACGATGCGCTGCTGAAGTATGGCGAATCTGATGGCAACAAGATTGAGCCGGAGATGTACGTGCCTATTCTGCCTACGATCCTCATCAACGGTTCGAGCGGTATCGGTACGGGTTGGAGCTCTGAAATTCCCAACTTCAATCCCCTCGACATTATCGAGAACATCAAGCGCCGTATGCAGCCAGGCGCTACCAAGGAGGATATGACGCCGATGATCCCCTGGTACAAGGGCTTCACTGGAACAACTACTGTGCTCGGCCCTGATCGGTACCAGTTTACTGGTACTATCCGACAAACTAGCGACAACGAGATTGAAGTCACTGAATTGCCAGTCCGTTACTGGACTCAGGACTTCAAGGAGAAGCTTGAGGAAATCATCAAAGCTGAAAAGGGTCCTTCGTTCATCAAGGATTACATCGACTACAATACGCCTGATCGTGTCCATTTCGTCATCAAGATGGAGGACAAGTACATGGCAGCTGCCCTTGCCAAGGGATTGGAGGAGATGTTCAAGCTGTACAAGCCCCAGGCAACCAGCAATCTCGTCGCTTTCGACGCCCAGGGACGCATTCACAAGTACTCGAGCGTCCTCGATATCATCGAGGAGTTTTACCACATTCGTCTGCGTTACTACGAGAAGCGGAAGCAGCATCAGCTCCAGGTTATGGAGAAAGAGCACCTCAAGATGTCGAACCAAGCCAGGTTCATCCAGATGATCATTGATGGCAAGCTCACAATCTCAAAGAAGAAGAAGTCGATCCTTGTCCAAGAACTGAAGAAACTCGGCTTTACACCTTTCCCCAAGGTTGAAGAGGCCAAGACTGCTGGCGAGCTTGAAGAAGCTGAGGATGACGAGTCTGATGGAAACGAAGCGGAAGTATCGGCAAACGACTATGACTATCTCCTTGGCGTAAGTAATGACCTATTTGGCCAAAATTTCAAGTTCTAACACTTCACAGATGGCCCTCTGGTCTCTAACTCAGGAACGTGTCGAGAAGCTGTTGAAGCAGCTCGGCGAGAAGCAGGAGGAGATTGACACTCTGATCAAACTTTCGCCCAAGGATATTTGGAAGGTCGACCTTGACGCCTTCATGGACGAGTGGAACCTGCAGCAAGAGGAAGAGACGAAGCGTAAGAAGAAGATTGCTGGCATTTCCCGCCGCGCATCCATGAAGCTCGGCATTGGTGCAGGCAAGAGTGGCAAGGGCAAGAAGAAGAGAAAGATGGACGGCTCTGATTCAGACGCCAGTGACTCTGACTTTGGCCCGGTCAAGAAGAAGACGAAGCCGAAGAAGGAGGGACTGCTCAGCTACCTTCAACAAGAGCCTGCGAAGAAGCCTTCAGCGGCAGAAGCTCTCAAGAGCAGCAGCGCATTCGGCTCCACAGCTCCGCAGAAACAGGGCACACTGCTCTCCCATCTTGTCAAGAAGGAAGGGACGCCGCTGACTGATGGAGCATCGGACAGTAGACCCGGTTCTTCGGATTCGAAGCCAGCGCCGGCGAAACGAGGCCGTCCTGCAGGCGCAAAGGCTGTCAAGAAGGATCCAGTCTCAGATGACGAAGACTCTGATGTCTTTGCTGCGGTCGCTCAAGAAGCTGCAAAGGAATCAACCAAAGCAGCCGCTCCTTCTCGAGCTGCTCGTGGCGCGAAGCAGGTACCCAAATACAGCCTCGGCAGCGATTCCGAATCTGAGGACGATGATCTTGGCGATGTTAGCAGCATGGTCAAGACTATTGGTGCTGGCACAAACGGCGCCCCAATGTTCAAGACAAGTACGGTGGCCCGCCCTGGCAGTAATGGCAACGCTCGCTCTGGCGGTGCTGGCGCGAAGAAGAATAGCTCGCTCGACATTGATGATGACACTACCAACTACGAAGGTCTGATGCCTCAGCCTTCACCACAGCGTCCTGCTCCTCGTAACGTCAACGACACCATCATGAGCTCAGACGAGGATGACTTCAACATTGGCACCAAGAAGCCGGCTACAACCAAGCTGACTGCTAGGCCCGCTGTGAAGCCCAAGGCCGCTGCCACGGCTAAGCCCGTACCAAAGACCAAGGCTCTTGCCAAGAAGCCTGCGGCGCAGAGCCCAGCGGCAAAGGCTTACGCGAAGAAACACGGCAAGGAGGCAGAGACAGCAAAGGCTGTACCCAAGAAGAAGGACGTCGACTCTGATGGAGACGAGGATATGGATATGGACGACGCAGATGACATTGCCAATGACATCCTCTCCGACGATGACGACGAGCCAACACCTAAGCCGGCTGCACGTGCACCTGCTGCACGGCCTGGCCGTAGAGCTGCTGCCAAGCCCGCCAAGTATGTGGTCAGCGACGACGAGGCCGATTCAGACGACGCGTCTGAGCCAAGCTTCGACGACGACGATGACAGCGAGTAGACATGCTGGCTGGGCGGTGAAGTAGAAGAGGGCTGTTTGATACCCGGGTCAGTCATTGGCGTTTTCGAGATTGGGAGCAATCAGGCACTGCGAGATGTGTAGTGCTTTGCATCATGGCGTTCGAGGTTTATCTTTTTTGATCTTATTCACTCTATGCAATTGTATATCTCGCTTTCTTTTTGTATACCTGTGTAGATGAATCTCATGGGTTCAAACTCCAAAGTGTTGTGTCAAAAGTCATGAGGCGGAATAACCAACTAGCATATCCATCCACGCATCCACCTCATCTCTCGTTGCCAGCAGTGCAAGGAAGCAGAGTACGCCACGCCAACGTGATGCAGATTATGCATCCGAATTTCCCCGATGGGCCAGCCAGCCACCCAAACAAACCATGACTTAGTTCATCGATACCGATCAGAGCAGCATGCCATGGACGCACAAGAACAACAAGCAGCGAACCCCCCCGCAATACACTAGTTGCCCACGCCTAGCATGGAAAAGAAAAGAACAAGTACCATGGGGGGGGGGCTCAGAGACCGCGCGCATCTAGCTAGGCTTCCCGCATACATAGCGGTGAGCCACGTTGGAGCCAGGGGATCATGAAGATGGAAGAAGAAGAAGAAGAAGAAGAAGAAGAAGAAGAAGAGGGTGGGAAACGTAGTACCATTCTTCTTCTTCTTCTTTTCCCTCTAGCCCACCTCTTCTCTACATAGACTCACCCTGATTCGTGTTTCAGAAGAGCGGGGGGGGGGGGGGGG